ATTATCTGAATGTCAAATGTTTCCTCTCAGTAGTTGCATTATTTCTAAGTTGACGTAAAACTCTGCTTTTCTCTACAAGGTGAAACTTTACTGAAGAACATCAAATGAACCCTGGTGAATATTCAGAGTACATTCTTTGGGCAGACTAGACCAAGATAAATTCGTTTGGCTAAGAGAGCGTTTTGCATGTTTGACGTGAACCTGACCAAGACCCCCACAGTGAATACATTGTCCCATCAGTGAAGTGCCAAGGTGGGAGTGTGATGTTATGGGGCTGAATGAGAGCAAACGGTGTTGGAATATGGCACTTAAAGATGGCACCATGAACGCCTGCGCATGTCCCATATTACTGACTGACGAGATGAATGCTAGTCAACATAAGCTTGGCAGAAGAAGAGTATTTCAGCATGATAACGGTGCATAACACAATCACACTGGGACTAAACTTAAATGACACCAGAGGCTACGCAGTCAGAAATTAAACATTTCTGGCATCATGACAACCTCTAAAATTAATTATAATAATTATCACTTCTACATTAATTCTTCAGTGGAATTGGATGTAGATTTTTATTTTTTTTTTAAAACTGTGTAGAGGACAAAAGAGTACTGATGTCCTGTTCTTCCAGCTGTTTCATTATCTTGCATTGCTTCTAAAAATATATCATAGGAAAAGATAATTGCTATTGCTAAGTTATCTGTGTTTTCCAGCGGAGGAGGACAGTAGTTCAGATTAGTTGTGCGCAGCGTGTCATTGTGAATATACTGTTGGACTTGGATACAAATGGCAATTTGTAAAGTGGTTATTATTGGGTGAATGCAGGTGGTTCCCACCCCTACATTTCCTGGCATCTTGAAAGATTTTCACTTAATAACCCTGCCAAGTGCAAAGTTCCATATATCTATTATTAGAGAGTGCATTGACTGGGGTGTGTCGGGCTGTCAGCTAGAAGGCGAAGCCATAAAAACAGCCAATTTAAAGTGGATACCCATTTGTAGAGTTCTGGGACATGGTCTTGGGGGCTTGTGACCACAAGCAGGGCTCACTGAAGTATCATCAGCCTTTATTTGCAGGATTACCCACTCCGTGTTTATGCCATCCCTCCCTTGTGAAGTATGTTTCTCTGTCCAAATTCTAGCAGGGAAAAATAATTGGAGTTTCACATGGAGCAGAGCAAAGAACTTCATGGTAAACAAACACCACCTCTGTGCAGTGTCTTGTGGTTCATGGTGAACCAATTGTGTAAAAAGCCTTCAGATGAGGATCCCTGTGGTTTGTTGCGTTGCTGGAAGTATAGCACATCGCTCTCTGCCGAGCTGTCCAGCTGCCCGAGGCGGCTACAGCTGAGAAAAGCGTGGTAATAGGCTGGGGCTATGTCAATTGTAGAGAGGGAGGGAGTGAAGATAAGGTGTGTCTGAAAAGCTCTGAGTGGGAGGAATTTTTTTTTTATACACCTTGTTGCACTGAGGCTCTCCTCTTTCAGCCTAAGCGCTCATCTTCTTGAGGATGTCCTTTAAACTAAATAGAGGTATAAACACCTGAGAGTGTGTCTGAGCTGTAGAAGTGATCACCAGCAGCACTAAAGACCGTTTCTATCTTTTCACTCTCATATCGCTGCGGCCAACTGTCAGCATTGAGGCACATAATTAACCAAGGCTCCACACATTCAGACAGACAGACAGACAGACAGGTTTTCTCTGTGTCGTGTAGCTCTGCACTTACATAGAAGGCCATTACTCTGCCTGGAGCAGGTATGGCATCAATCAGTCTGTCATAGGGTGATGCAGAGGGAGGCATTTCCCACTTGAACATGAGAGGAACCTTACTAAACTCCTCTTGCAAATAGACAGGGAGTGATTCTTGGCCAGAATTCAAAAGGCAGATCCTCCTATTTGGACATAACTTTTAAAAACCTGGTCAGCCTGAAGCACTGCATGGCAATAAAGGCTTTCCATCCTGTCACTTTCCATTAGAAGGTTAAATGACTTTTGGACTGGCTATCCTGCAGTGAGAGTCAGTTGGGGTTAAATGCAACCCTTATGAATTTTAGTTACCTCAATGAAACAGCAGCAATTAAACTTAAGCCAGCTACCAGAAGTCGGTAGCATAATTAATTAAATAGAGCAACCGAGCAGAACCGGAGCTGTGGCATAGGGTCTTTCCTAATAAAGCAAAAAGTCTTTAACTTTGAGAGTTTGTTCAGACTTGGTCAGATTCAGTAAAGTTCCAATTCATTAATGACAAGAACTGGCAACATCCTCTGAGATTTTGTGCACTGGACTGAGGCAGGGGAAATCATCGTTTGCCAGGAATTATGCTCTTTGGATTTTCTTTATTTTTGCATTTCTCTTCTCATTTTCAATCCACTGCCTTATTAAAAGTTTCCTTTTAAAAATCTGTCTCAGTATTGTTTAACAGGAACCAGTACCTTAATTAGAGGTACAAATAGTCTAGGTGTTATGACTTGTACCTTAAAAGTGCTACTTCAGCTTTCTCTCTGTGTGTCTGAATTCTCTGGCCTTTACTCTCTTTAACATTATTAAAGCCATTCGTGAGCCGTGATCCTCAAGAAAGACGGGCGAGTGCAAAGGCGAGGGGTTGAAAAAAAAAGGACTACTTTGTTAAAGTGTAGTATTGCTTGCAAAATGATAAAAGTTAAATGATAGCCATTAATATGTGATGCTTTTGCCTTCAGCATTGTATTAAAGAAATATTTAAAAATGAGTTTGCGTAAGCTTGTTTGAAACAATCACTTATTTACTAAATGAAACACAAATATCTTTCTTTGTCTCTTTGCCAGACAGTTATGGTGCAGTTCACGATTTGAGCAATGCTTAAGAATGCAAATTGAGCCTCAGAGGGCAACTTTAAATGACGGATTTGTTATTCAAAATAAGTAGGCATAATGATAGCTGTCATTTCAAGAGACAAGGCTTCTTTGGTTCGGTCACACATTTCAATATTTCAAGTGCAACATATTCCAAATCTGACCTAATAGAAATGGGTCCAAACTGTATGAGTGTGAGTGAATGCCTAAGACACTGCTAGTCATAATTCCATGATATCAAGACCGCGAAGCCTTGAATATTTTTACATAGTTCAGTCTGCTGCTGGTTTGAATTGGTTCATTCAGAGTTTTCTCATCATGCCTGTTTCCTAATCTTACACTGAAATACAAATGCCACCTTTCAAGTATGATTTATTCATCCAAAAAAAAAAAGAAAAACTAAATTGGTTTGGCACTTTGTGATCCAGGCTGACGTTTAACAGGAGCTAGAAGTTTATTTCTAGCCAAAAAATAATAATTAAAAATGTGAAAAAGGAAAAAAAGGTGTGACACAGAAAGTCGACAATTGTTGGCAGCGTTCTCTGGGGAGACGAAAAATGAGGCTCCAATAGCAGAGACAACGTTTTTTCTTTAATAATTATGAGAGTAAAAGACAAACATTACAGACTTTTATAAAGGTATCATGCATTACTCAGGTCATGGGTGACTCTATTAAAATAGATATGAGCTGTGTGCATGAGGGATGGAGTAACTGGAGGAGCACTTCTGCCGGGCAGAGGGAATGAACCGGGCATTCATCTTGGCTTTCAGCTTTCTGCTTGAGAGATTCAACTGTGGATAAACAGCAGTTTTCATGTCCCACTATGTGAACTCCGATGTGCCGTCTCCAGGATGTTATCATTGCCGTCAGCAGCCACCCCTGCGCAGCATTAGCTTCGTTTTTGCACTGTCATTTTGCTGGAAGACTAAGTTTATGGTTTTCCCACTGTTTTTAATGTTACCCCCTTTCATTTTAAGCCTTTCAAGACTTGCTGCAGAGAGGCATCCACACAGCACCGTACAGGCTTTGTGATGAGGATGGTGCGTTTCTAATGGTCCATATGTAGCAAAGACCAAAGATAGGGTTACTACGAGGCTCAAAGCTGCACTAATTCAGTTTTTGCATGCGAGTGTGTGCTATCACTGTGTTTCCCCTCCTCTGGGCTACCGTGCACCACAAAAGACTGTCTGGTGTCAGCTGACAAGGAGAAGCAGCTTCAATTTTACATCATGTCACATTGCCGAGCCCAGACTGACACTATATATGCAGCTGTATCCAGTCTTCCCTGCTTTTGCTTTACAGAAGCCCTATTAATTATTAATTTCATCCATCATTTTTACTTGGATACTTTTAATTTTTTGTTAATATAGATTTTCTGTTTGTATTTTGCTCTTCTTGGCATTTGTGCAGCTGTCAATTTGGAGCATTTATAATCCAAACATTATGCAAACACAAAAGCCACACAAACCATAGTGCTTCTAATGCTGAGGACAGGGGTATTTTTCGACCTTTTGCTTACTTTAGCTGTGAAAAAAATCCATCACAACATAGTATACAGTTTCATTTTAAACAAAGTAGTGGGTGATAGGGACCATCAGGCCATTAGGAAAAGTGACACATGGCTGAACGCATACACAAATACACACACTTACTAAAGGCTGATGTCATGGAGGTTCATCAGGTGGGCTATGGTCATGCTTCAGGACATTAAAGGCTGTTATTCTTTTCTTAGCTTCCAATTTGAGCTCATTTTTCCATCACCTTCTAAGAACCAGACCTCATCTACAAGTGGTTCTTGTGGAAGATGTCATTTGGGGGGAAAAAAGATAAAATAAATATCATTATGAAGAGTGTCTACATCAAGCAAAAGATATTACTAATTGCATGGACAATCCAGTGTGCAGTGAGTAAGCCCCAAGCAGAACCTCTGCAAACTACCACAGAAATTAATTGAAAAACAATGTTAAACTCAATCAGTTTTACATTTTGGAAAACATATACAGACGTCTTTGTTCTGAAGACCTGGTGACGAATCAAGTGTTTCATATATATTTATTTTGAGTATAAACTACATCTACAAGTTACAGCCAGTGTGTTAATGTTAAGCTCATTTAGACTAAATGTATTAATCAACACCGCCGCCATGTGGTCGAACAGAGTACTGCATGTAAACAAGACCTAGGAACCATCGAGTCAAGCTGTGTTTCTCCACGGAATGGAAATGTGACGGAAAAAATCAACAAATTACGCTATTTCTCGCCTGTAGCCGCCGATTGGGTACAAATTTAAATCTTTTATTTTCATATATCTTTGAATCAAACGTACAAGGAACCTATTAGCTAATTGTTTGGTAATATTTGGTCCAGATATGCTAACGTCGTCTCATCTTAACTTTTACATGTAGCGACGCCATAAAGTCTGGCGAAGAGAGAAATTCTTCTTCTATTCCTCGTTTTTTTTCTGTGTGTAAGTGAGTATTAACTTCCAGCTTTGCATGTGAGGCCTATTTATTAACGGACCTTTAAATGTAACTGCTTGAAATGGTAAACGCAGTTGTTTAAAGTGGTTTAGCAAGTTAAACGTAGCTGGCGATGCTATGTTCATGCTGTTAAACTTCACAGCGCTAGCTTGACTTTCAAATGGATGCGTCTAAATGATGGCGTTGTGTGTTTTTTTTTTCTCTTTTTGTAGGTCACAGACTATGAGTAAAGAGTCCAGAATGAAGGCAACAGTAAACCAGAAGTTGACAGAAATGGGAGAAAGAGAGAGGTGAGGCAAAGAGTAAAGTGGTTTAACCTTTCGAAGCTAATGTTAATCAGTTGCCGTCAGATTTATCAGCGTGGTATTGCCCCCCGTACATCCTGCATAGCATTGTACAATCAGCTTATTTATACCAAAATGTGTCTTCTGTAAGTTGTTATTGGGAGTCTATTCATAGCTGTACGCCATCAAAGGCTGTTAAAGACCCACAATAAAGCACCTCCATCGTATTAAGGGGAAACGTGTTGAACTAACTTGCTATAACGCATGAATATAAGATTAACAACATCACTATATATAGTTGCTCCACACTACAATTAAGATGTCCTAAATTCTGCTCTGTCACTTCAAGATCTCAGTTGTCAAGATCTCTAGCTTGATATTCTCCTTTTATTATTTAAGACAGAGATTGTAAGCTCTTATAACACATGCCTGCTTTGCTGCAAACTAGGAAAGCAGCTGCTCCATCACATATTCATTTTTCTGGCAAGCATTGCTCTGAATAGTCTGCATACTTCATGGTGAGACTGTCAGCATAACAGAGCCAACAGCACATATCAGGGCCAAAATAAACAACGAAGTCTCCAGCTGGTATTAGTTACTTAATTAGCATAAGGCAGAAATGTACTGCTGTGTTCTCACTGTGTGTTTCACTGACAGACTGAAGGAGTTACTGAGAGCTAAGCTCACCGAGTGTGGATGGAAGGACCAGATGAAGGCTCACTGCAAAGGTAAACAGCACAGCAGTGTTGCTGAAACACATATCAAACAGTTGCTAACAGATTACAGGACAGAAAAAACCTTGAACATAATGAGATTCTTTGGGTTTGCGTGTGTGTTTTTTCTCAGAAGTTTCTTTTCTTCTTGTAAATTGTGTGTTTCTGTTGTTTTTCATTGACTTGTCTAGTTTATGTAAAGGCCAACATTGTGAGAGTTTCTGCAGATTCAAATGTTCTGTTTTTTGATAAACTTACCCTATAAAATATTTTCATCAATTGTTTTCATACCTAACTGGTGCAACAACTTCCCAACCATTTCCACTATGTTAGAATGACCTTTAACTTCTCTGCTCTTATCGTTCTTGATATCCAAAATGTAACAAAAGGCTCATTCCAGATGAACTGTGTTGCCTGGACATTTTCCAGCAGCCTTCAGAGTGTACACAAAGTTACAGAAACACTAATTTATGTTGTTATCAAACTCATGTATCAGCTTGTATGCAGTCTTCTGTAGTTTTAATTATGACAGGGTAGCCTATTAAAATGCTATACATGCAATCTGTGGTCTCTGCTCAGCCTCCAGTTTACATGAATTTTCATGTAAATGTCAAAATACATAAATACACTTAAACATTAACAAATAGTCAAATACAGAATAAACAAATACAAGGCAAAAGCTTTCATTAGTGATTTGTTGTATGTAGACTGCCAGGGCTAAAACATCTGGACAGATGTTAAAAGAATCCTCACATGCCATCTGTCTGAAGTTCTTGTGTTGTTAAATACTTTAAGAATTGAATCAGTCCAAAGTTGATATACAACAGAGTAGAACTGTGACATGATGCATGCAGTTTTTGATTGATAATATGAATGTAGCGTATTCAGCCTCTCTGATAAATGTCACCATCAACCTCACAACATGCATTCTGTTTGTAGAATAAACCTTAAAAGTTCAACAAAATCTTCGTCTCTCCAATTCCAGTAAAGTTACGTTTCCCTCAAATGTCATATTGTTGAGTCAATACTCAGACAAATCACCTGTTACCAATCACCAGTCATTAAAGCATGACCGAGCACCTGAAGAGAATACAATACATCCTCCCAATTACCATAAGATCACCAGACCTTTACAAATGTAGACAATATAAAGGCTGGTGTACACATATTTGACTGATAAAACTAAAGTCTGATGCTTGACTGCAAGAACTCCTGTATTATAGAGCTCAAAGTTTTTAAGACAGTTTATTTTTTTTTGCTTGTTTATTTTACGGGCTGTAGTTTAGTTGTTGTAAAGAAGGCTGGCATACAGTTTTATTATCTAATTATCTGTGTTTTGTTGAGACAAATTTGAGGCAGAATACTGTTCTGTTGTTTAATTTGCGTTTCTGCTGCTGCTCTCATCTACATTTACTGATTTGCAGAGGTCATCAAAGAAAAGGGTTTGGAGCATGTCACCGTAGAGGACCTTGTTGTAGAGATTACACCTAAAGGAAGAGGTAATTAACTCCTTAGTGTTTTATTTAAGACATTAAAGACTTTACATAACTGTGGACTGTCGTTACATGTGCATTAGTGTTGTTCCCCTGAAGGATGCCAAAAGCTTTGCTCTAAAGTTAATATTTTTTGCACGTGTCATAAAAGTTACAGAAATGGCACTTGCTCCGTAGACCATAGTAAGAGGTGGTGCAGTCAAGAGATGTTATATTTCCACTAAGGGATGTAGGTGTTAGCACTGAGATAGAAGTTCCGCAGAAATAGTATATCAGAAAAGTTACCAATATCTTTTTCTCTTGCAGCTTTGGTGCCAGACAGCGTCAAGAAAGAGCTTCTACACAGAATTAGAGCCTTCTTAGCTCAGCACGCCACATAAGTTAGACTGAATGTTTCATTAGACCACTTGCCTATACTCTCATTATACAGATTTCTATTTTTATGACGTGATTTACTTGTTTTTTTCTTCATTATCTTGATTTTTTAGTAACCTAGAGTACTGACTCAGACTTCGATATTCAGTTAGAAGTTGTTACCAATCCTGTGACTACATTATTTCATAATATAAATGCATTTACCTTGCACTTGTAATCAATAATTGTATATAAAATGTGCTGTTTAAATAAAGGTTTTGCTATATTGGACTTGAGTGGACAAATGTCTTTTTTTATAAAACAGTAATATGTGTGAATGGAAGCTTGAACTGTGCTGACTTTTGCAGCTGTGCTTGTTTTTAATGGTCATTTTTATTGCATTGTTGAGGTGGAATTGGATACGTAGTTGCTGACTGGATGATTGTATTTTGTATTGTGATGATGCAACTCTTGAAGTAAATATTGTAAAAACTTGAGTGCAGCCTATGATATGGCCTGAATTGTCCCACAAACATAAGAAATCAATTTAACAACGTATGATGTTTATTGAACGTTTAGATTAATATTGAGTCCATATATTAGGCGTCATCAGTTGAAGAATTTATAACAAAAAGGCTTCATAAATGATGTGAAGCAGTTGATTAGCAGACATTTAAGAGTGTCTCGCATTTTTGTTTCCTTTTGATAGTCTGTATGTTGCTGACAGTTGTGCAATTTAGTATAAAAGGCCAAAATACTATGCTCTCCTGGCACATGTGCTTCCCATTGTGTAATTGAAGAGTCAATCGTATGTGTAGTGTGTAATCTCAGGTATCAACACAGCAGGCAGCTTCACACCTGGTCCTTCAAAGATGGAATCAGGTCAAAAAAATGTGACAAATGAGAGAATAGTCTGAAATAGTTGACAGGAAAAATAGTTATTTACCATGGCAACATGAATCACGCCCAGCTGGTGCTGTGAATTAACACCATCCTTTGATTAAATGGACTTACATCCAAAGAGCTATGATCCTGTAATGACAAGCCTGGTGCTGCTTTACTTCCCAGAATAACACACTGTTCCCAGCAGAAGGGGAAGAGATCATGAAAAGATGAACAGGCGTGACCCTGTTCACAGGGGACCAATTGGCTTCACTGAAATCTGGTCGTCAGGTTGTGTCGAGGTCCTGGGTGCACTCTGGATGAAATGAACGAAGCACTCATGAGTGTTTCAAGGCTTGAGTAGGTGTGTTGAGTCCAAAAAGCATAAATTACGCACACCATGGCAAGATAGTTCAAAACATCTAAAAGTCAAAAAACTGGCAGAAGAGCTCAGGGTTAGGTCTTGTGTGTTCTTGTTTTGGTGTTGTTGTGCAGCTCTCTTTCAGGGGCCTGTACTACTTTGGGGTTAGCGAGGTAACGTTAGGTTAAATCCTGGGTTTTCGGTCCTATGAAGGTGGTTCACTTCTTACCGGAGTACATCACCATGGTAACTTACACTGAACGGCTAACGTGCTCAGCAGCAGGTTATGTTGGAGATTGAGATCACTGGGTATAAAACACCGCCCAATGAAAATCAGTTCTCTCCCGTAAAACTTCAGACGGAGTAGAAAGCGAAGCAGTTCTCAACAAAATGGCATCACTGGCATTTACTGAAAACCCGCTACACATCGGAGCATGAATTGTGAGGGATCACTGAGGAGTGATGCAAAACAGCGCACCCTGACGAGGATCTCTATGAGCTGCTGTCTTCCTTCATTCATTTTTTTCCCCTGTTGGCTACAGGCAATGTCAAAGCTATTTCATATTATTTTCCATACCAATAGCACCCCACAACAGTAAACTGACTTTAGCATCAAAGCTTGTATTTGTAGGATACGTTAATAACCTCACACCACCTTGAATTATGTTTCTGTTTTGTTCTTAATTTGTTCCCACATCCTTTTTACAACGCCAGGGTTGCAGCTGAAAGTAAAAAAATGTCAGATATGGCACAAGTATATACATTAGGCAGCAAATTAGTTAAAAGGAATCCTCAGATGTGCTTATTGTCTGATACGTGCTTTCATGATGGAACAGTGATCGTATTTTATTATAAACTAATGAACTTGTGCATTCACACAGTCAGCAGTTTTCTGCCAGCATTCCTTCCTGGCTTTGGTTGCTGCAACAGTGCTGTTACCCTGTTGTTAGGGTTAGTCGAGCTGGATCTCTGAAATCTATCCTGGGTATATTGATCTAGCTTCGTAGTACAGGCCCCTGGTTAGGTTCATGGAGTCTGTTACTACGGTAATTGTCCGAGGTCTTAAGTTACCTCGCTCTGTGAAACAGGCAAGAGTTACCCCTCTTCCTCTGGTTTGAGTTATCTCCCTTTGAGGGAAAACTCAGAGTTTCCCTCATTTCAGTGTTAACAAACTCAGAGTTTTCATGAAACCTGCTTTGTGAAACGGACCCCAGGTCAGTCAAACCGTCACTGTTACAGGAATGTTGGCCTCATGTTTTTCCACCCACATGGCGAACCACATCATTGTGTTTGATTGAAAGGTCTCTATAGTTACACATGCACGATGTCTAATTGGTTATGGATTACATTCAGGGAGGCCATGAACCCAAAACAACGCCCCTCGGCACGAGTAGCACATTAGTGGGTAGTGAGTGACTCTGCTCTGGTCACCCACCCAAGACAGAGAGTGTGTTTTCTTAGCCGAAGGACCTGCTGTGACATCAGCCCAGGTGACAACATGCTGATATACAGTGCTGTTGTGGAGGCCAAATGTAACGTACCCCTCCAGCCCTGCACACACGCTCCTTTAATGGCCTACATCAATCCCCATGTTATCAGCAGATCTCCCTGGGCCCCCGCATATAAAGGGGGCTCTGCACACTGCAGCACACCGCAGACCGGCACTGGATAGAATTACCAGTGATGCAATTTATTATCATACAGATTTTTATTTACTTTCTCACTCTCCATTCTCAGCTTTTCCCCATCACTCAGGACCTGCACAGCTCTGCTGAAGAGCTGTACAGTAACCAGATGACTCTGCACATCATAAAAAAAAGTTGTACAAATAAAGGGAAGACATGATTTAATGAGTCCCATTCTGCCGTTCGTTTGGCTCCAGGAGGCACATCTTGGACGTGACGGATTTAAATGAACCAGTTTTGAGCAGCAGCTGATGGCGAGGAAGCGTACGGTTCGTAGCATCCTGCGAGGTAGCCTCTGAATGAACCACCAGTCGGGAAACAACAAAGAGCAAGCGCACCCTTATTCCACCAAAGTCAATATCAAGCTGTGTCTGAGCAGCACGTAATGACATTTAAAAGGAAAAGACAAACACGTTATGTGTGTTTCCATGTGGGTTTGTGTGCATGTAGGTAAGTGTGCGCGGATATGTTCACCACCCCTGGAATCAGATCATTGCAGCATGATAGCAGCTGTGTCAATAGGCAAAGGAGCCAAAAGTGTGGTCCTGTATGCTGAGTCCCATAGGTGCTCCACAGTCCCCTCTCTAGCGAAATTGGCAACATCCAAAGACCATAAACACCTCCCTTACTGTACAAACAACTGAAGAAAAGGCAGCGCTGGGTGGAAACAGCTGGCAGAAACGTGCTCGTATTATAAACAAATGTTGGGAAATGATGATGTTACAGCACATTGCCTTATTTGGGATATCAGTGCACCTGCTTCAGGGGATACTGCTTCAAGAAGTGTCCGTGAAATGCTGGATCCCAAGGCTTGGTCATACAACACTAATAAATAAATCTCGTCATGTATACAACAGTGCATCTGACATTTCTTATTTATAGGACACAGCTATGGGCTTTTGTGTGTCATATATCTTTCCCTATATTTTTTTCATAATGGAAAGACCAAAGACATTGCATAAGTAGACAAAGGGTCAAAGAGGGTGTTTCAAAGCAAAAAAAAAAGGGAGGGGAGGGGGTCATGTGCTCCTACAAATTCTCAAGACCCGGTGTGCAGTTGGCCCTCTTTACTGTCAACATGTGTGAATGCCATGCTCGATAAATTTCTCTTTGAATTCTCTCACTAGAATTTATGAGACGTGCAACATGGGGTTGCAACTCTTTTGAAACCTACACACTTGCAGCGCTTAGCGGCGTTTACATTCTCATTTTGAGGGAAGGACGAGGAGGAAAGAAAAAAGCACAAATAGCGAAAGGCTGGCATGTAGCATCCTGCAGTGTAAAGAGTTTTAAATGTATTTACATTCTGTTGTGTCTCTTGGGAACTGTTTTCTACGCACTAATGAGGCGGAGGAGCAAGTTTCTTTCTGTTATTCCTGGCATCGACGCACCGGTCGCAGGCATACCACTCTCACTCTCTTCCCCCCCGCTCTTCCCCTCCCTTTTCACTCTCAGTAGCCCAGTGCAAATAATAAATAAGAGGAAATACATCATCCCTTTTTCAATCCGAGAGCCAAGAGTGGGTCTGCCAAAGTTAACACAAAGCAATCTTAGGTAATGATCAGCAAATGTGTATAAAGTTTCATAGAGCATGACTTCACATAATTCTTGTTTAGATCATGTTGGCTGGCAGAATCTCAACTGTGATGCTGCTGCAGTAGAAACCATGCAGTCTCTTTCTCTCACACACACACACACACTCTGTAGCTTGTCTGCATGAGGCTTAAAAGCAGCACTTCTGTTTTATAAGTTGCCGTAACTGATTTGATACGGTGTAACGTTGTGGCAAGGATTAGCTACCAGTCATAAATTGTGGAATTTTAACAGAGGCTTTATGACATGCTCATGCCCATTCATTCTACAAATATGTGTCAGATTTTCCATTCATTTACACACATCGGTGGCACGGACGCAAAACATTTCATCATGGCTCAATTGATGAAAATTATTTGCTCGTTGTAAAAAGAAAAACTTCATTGAGTTGTTTTAGTGCTCTACCTACAGCACAGCCAGTGTGCAGATGGAGAGCCGGGGGGTCTCTATGCAACAACACAGAGGAAAGAAGCGAAACACAATCCAGACATTGTTTACCCTGTTTCTGATGTAAAGGCCACTTACTGTCGTGTCCAATGCCTAACCCTTAATTTGCTGCTCCAGCCTTTGAAGTGTGTGCATATTTCTGTTTCCTGACACTACCTTTCCCCTCTCTCTCGCTCTCTTGCTCTCTCTCTCTCTTTCTCTCTCTCTCCCTCTCTCTCTCTCTCCTCCGAGCCCCAGCAGTTGATATTGCAACTGGATAGGCCATGTTTCCATGTAGGGGCTCTTTTTAGGCCTGCTCTGATGATAGAAAACACAAGTGGGGA